AAAAAAATAAACACAGCTGGTACGAAAGTGTCGTAATATGATAGTCATTATGTTCATATTGCACATTTGTTTTAAAAGACTGAAACATTATATGCAAAAAAATAAACACAGCTGGTACGAAAGTGTCGTAATATGATAGTCATTATGTTCATATTGCACATTTGTTTTAAAAGACTGAAACATTATATGTAAAAAATAAACACAGTTGGTACGAAAGTGTCGTAATATGATAGTCATTATGTTCATATTGCACATTTGTTTTAAAAGCAACTAAGTAAGCAAAACAATGTTAAGAAAATATGTATCATCGTAAAATGTTGTTAATTTGTATTTTTACACAACAAACCTAAATTTTGATTGTGTGTTGAAAACACGTGTAACTTGTTTATGTTTTTCTCATTGTTATAAACGATACTTTTGCTATTCATGTCTACTTCTTGTATCACATCGTGAATTCAAGATGTGTTTGTTTGGAGTTAAGCACAAAGCTAGACAATGGATTATCTGTGCTCTGCCTACCACGGGTATCGAAACCCGGGTTCTAGCGTTGTAAGTCTGCTGACATACCGCTGCGCCACTAGGAGGACCTTAATATAGAATAATCATTCTTATATCTTTCAATTCTCACTCTTGAAGATGACTTTTGACTGAAAATCGACTTGCGACCAGTGCCTCAAAATAATTGAAACACAAGTTTAAAGCAAACGAAGCATTACAGGTTTTTGTATGTTTCCAGTACACAGATATTAGTATACTTTGTAATTTGATATGATATATATTTTTTTCTGTATTAGCAAACAGTATCCAAACGATATAACTAGCTAAATCAACTACAGTTTGCAGCGGCCCTGCTGGAACACGAGAGTTAGGCGGACAGAGCAGACGGCCTGGAAATTATCGATCTCCGCCCGGCGACACGGCTGCTTGTCTGCACGAGACAAAATGAAAAAAAAAAAAAAGAAGAAAAATAAAATAAAAAAAACGTGATCAACCGCGCCCTTCGACCTTGCAGCATGGTTGTTATGACAACGACTTAATACAGAAGCACTATTCTATACACATTTAATTCCACTGGTTTTACGTAATGTGGCCATATAAATAAATTCACCAAACCTTTGATTTACCCCTTAACAGTGACCTTGAAGAAAAAATAACCTTGAGAGCGATTCAAAGATTATGCACTCAGTAAATCCGACAGAAAAAACAACATGATTTTTAAAAAACCGGTCACGTGACCATGTAAAAGAAACACTCTGTGTTTTAGGTTAGTTTAGAATTCATGCAGAATACTTAATGCCAATTAAAAACCCGACCCTTGTGCATCCACAGAGGTCACATTTAATTAGCAATTCACGACGTTGAGACTCACAACTCGTCAAAAATGTTAACCTTCTATCACATCATGTATGGTTTTACTTTAAGGGTACTACTTCCAACATTTGTATTTATATCACATTATGTATGGTTTTTACTACAAGGGTACTACTTCCAACCTTTGTATTTATATCACATTATGTATGGTTTTACTACAAGGGTACTACTTCCAACCTTTGTATTTATATCACATTATGTATGGTTTTACTACAAGGGTACTACTTCCAACCTTTGTATTTATATCACATTATGTATGGTTTTACTAAGGGTACTACTTCTACCGTTTGTATTTGTATCACATTATGTGTAGTTTTACTACAAGGTTACTACTTCCACCGTTTGTACTTATATTACATTATGTATGGATTTACTATAAGGTTACTACTTCCACCGTTTGTATTTATATTACATTATGTATGGTTTTACCACAAGGGCACCCACTTCCAACGTTTCTAGGTGCCATTAATAATGTAATTTATTCTTCGACAAACTTGAAGAAGTTACACTTACTACCTTACTTCATCAAGTCGATATTCCGCACATAACATGTAATCGGACACAGCTATAACTCCTTTCTCCTGTATATATTCTCTAGTGAGTAGTTAGTCAACTTACAGTCAGGTTTTCTTTTAAACGTGCACTACCCTATACAATAAACATTTGGAACTCTGACTTCCAATGATTGGATGTGAACTTTCTCGACTCCATCAACCCATCACGAGCTGCACGCGAGTGCAAGACCGTTTCTTGGCGCTAGAACAAACCAACAAACATAAACAGCCTTCGACTTCTACGCCAATGTGAGAGCAGACGTTCATCTGCTTTAAATTAACGAGGCCAGAACGTAATAACATTCGTCGGGGGCTGATCTTTCAAGCATTCTTATTTTTAAACTTTGAAAATGTATTGAGAAGAAAAATAATATTAATTTTATACATTCGGTACAATGTTAAATTATCGTATTCTGTTATTCAAAAGTGTAGAATTTATCAAATGTTGTCGTTTATAATCGATTTAACAGCACGCTGAACTTGTGAAGAACAGTATAACTCTAAAACACCTTCCATATACCATGCGAGCTGTGTTAGCTCGAAATCGTTGAGCCACGATTCGCTAACCCTAATACTAAAACAAGGTTTTAATTAAAGCACAAGTTTCGTCTTTGTTTAGTTTAATTTCGCGCAAACCTAAACGAGTACTACCTGCCCCTAAATTTTGACTGACACACTAGACGGTATCACTGGACCCTATTTCTTTGACTAAATCTTATTACATGGTTTAAAAGGTATTTTTCATGGTTAACGGACCTTTCATATTATTATACAGTATAATTTTATAATGAAACTATTATTTCCGTTTACTTTTACTCAAGAATAAAAAGTTAATCACAACTCATTTGATCACATAATAAAAAGTAGGTGGCGCTTTTTTGATGTAGAGTTGACGATATTGAAAATAATTTAAACAAAAATGGATACATCATATTGATGCAGGTATGGTAAAAAAAACTACAATCGATAAAGTCAGCAGGAATTACTTGTAAAATAACTTTTATAATATAGGTTACTGTGAGATCCAGTGTATTACACTATAGTAACGACAGACATTACTTTTTAAACATCTACAGTATAGGTCAGGGTTAGATCCAGTGTGTTATGTTGTAGTAACGATAGACCTTACTTTTTAAGCATCTACAGTATAGGTCAGGGTGAGATCCAGTGTGTTATATTGTAGTAACGATAGACCTTACTTTTTAAACATCTACAGTATAGGTCAGAATGAGATCCAGTGTATTACACTGTAGTAACGATAGACGTTACTTTTTAAACATCTACAGTATAGGTCAGTGTGAGATTCAATGTTTTACTTCATTGTAGAGATGAATATATCATATTTGTTTAAAAGAAATGTCAGTCAGTGTAAGACTCAATGTTACACTGTAGTAATGATAAACCTCTCTTCTTAAACTTCCAAAATATATTTCTGTATAAGATCAAATGTTACGTTGTGGTAAAGATGAACCTGATGTAAACAAGTAGAATCAATGCCAGATTAACCATGAGGCACCTACCTGCCTCAGGGCCCCACAAATATTTTATTAACATTATTTATGAATATTGCGATATTCGATTTATATATTTATTTATTATATTTGAAAGTTTGTTTTTAATAAAATAATTTTTATTTATTTATTATATTTGAAAGGGACTCCATAAGGATATTTACATCAGGGCCTCCACATACCTTAATCCGGCCTTGAGTAGAATGTCGGTCAGTGTAAGTTCTAGACTATTCAATAACAAGACTTTAATCAACATTATTAAAACAGAGTTCCTATGGACGAAAAATAACATTTCTCGGGGTGGGACTTATCAGGATAATGTGCTTGTAAATACGATACACAATTTTGTAATAACATTAGTGACGTTTTCTAGTAAGCAAGACTGAGTCTGTTGGGTCAGAGACAAGTTTTTACAGTAATGACCAAAATGACAAGCCCTTGTCATGTGACTTATTATATAGACAGTAAGATATTTAAACACTAAGTTCTATGATGTTTGGGTGATACATACTGTTTTACTGATTTATTGCAGTGTACGAACCAGGTGAATACATTGGGTGACATACCGTGTTACTGATTTATTGTAGTGTACGAACCAGGTGAATTCATTGGGTGACATACCGTGTTACTGATTTATTGTAGTGTACGAACCAGGTGAATACATTGGGTGACATACCGTGTTACTGATTTATTGAAGTGTACGAACCAGGTGAATACATTGGGTGACATACCGTGTTACTGATTTATTGTAGCGTACGAACCAGGTGAATTAATTTCTGGGTTTGTTCACATTTGTAGGACCTACTGAACTGAATGACTTCAAACTTTACTTTGTCAGTCTTGTTGGCAGGTGACAATGAACATGATTTATTCTTTATTTTATCAATACCAAAGTCACTGCAAATGGTTAAATTCTATAAAACAAGGGGTAAGTTTATATAATTGTTAAAATAATTTCATCTCAATTTTCTGAAAATCATGCACAGTGATACAGTTGTTTTATTCTGGGCAAGTTTTGATGAAAAAATGGGACAAACACTTTTAAGATTTTGTTTTTATTACTTTCCTACAACAATCAAGCGTCTTACAGGACTGTGTTCTAACGTTTCTTTCTATATACAAATAATATACACTTAATTTGCATTTTTATTTATGAGAAACTCCTTTCCCCATTTCAAATTCTGTTTCTACAGTGCCTTATGTTTATATTTGTTTTGCAAGGTTCTGGTAAATAACAGACAAAAACCTAATAAATGCTGAATCACTCAAGTTTACTATACACCTTTCATATTATTTCACCTAAAGATTCATCGACACACACACAATCGAGGCAACATGGACATCAAAAAACTTCAAACTTCAGAACAACCTTCTTCATGATCAGTTATCAGTTTTGCCTACAAAGAAAAGAAGACATTGTTTCAAATCTTGTAAATATGACAGATTGAATGTAGACTATGTGCGTCTTTCTTTAGTTCATTTCTACATCTCAAGTTTTGTCTACAGTTTTTAAGTATTTTGTTACATGTTATTACTTACTGTTAGGAGTATTTTTTGTTTAAATATTAAAACTAATATTTACAAGAAGTCCTACAATAGCACACATTTCATAAAATCTTTGTTCTGTTACAATCAACCCGTAACGAGCTGAATATTTACACTACATTTTACCAATCATGAAATAGTGGCTGTGTAATCAATTTACTGTATCATTAGATTGACTCTCCTAGACAAACCAGGGTATATATTGACACAAAATAGAAACATCACTTTAATAGAGCTGAGTAGTGTGGAAATATTAGTGTAAGTAGGAAGTTAACAATGTTCATATAATCTTTTAGCCTCAGGTATATATACCATTAAATGAGATAACCTCCTCTGATCTGTTAAGTGGTTTTGGTTAAAAGTTTAATGAGATTAAATTAATTTCCTACTTTCAACTTGCTCCTGTACTCCCAGCAAACTTTCAATACATAAATAATTGCAATGACTGTTTCTAGCAACTGTGATGAAATAATGGTGATGTGAAAATGTAGATTAAATGGCAGAGAAACTAGGAAATAAACAATGACACTGGGACAATCACTCTAGCAATAACTTTGATACAGCTACATTGTGATAGTTCCTAGAAACATTCTATCTTTAGATGAAAACCTAGTCAACAGAAAGCTAATAATTACGAGTTAAAATGGCACATATTTTGGATGACAACCTAGTCACCAGAAAGCTAATAATTATTAGTTAAAATGGCACATATCTTGGATGACAACCTAGTCAATAGAAAGCTAATAATTATTAGTTAAATGGCACATGTCTTGTATGAAAACCTAGTCAACAGAAAGCTAATAATTATGAGTTAAAATGGCACTTGTCTTGGATGACAACCTAGTCACCAGAAAGCTAATAATTATAAGTTAAATGGGTACATATCTTGTATGACAACCTAGTCACCAGAAAGCTAATAATTGTAAGTTAAAAGGGCACATATTTGAATCATAAACTCACCAAGATTCCAAGCCAGCAAGCAAGCTGGAACTCATTGCTGTCATGCGATCATACAAAGAAGCTGACTTGGTAATACTTGAAGATGAACTGTTAGCAAGATTAGGGCTGGACTGATTTCGTGAATCGTGGAAGGAAGCACTCTAAATGGGTGTTAAACATGGTTTAGTGGCTTGATATTAATACAAAAACACATTGATGACTGGCCAATTAGTACTGATGTTTTACGGCATAACAAAATAATTATGTTATTACAAACTTACAATGCTTTATTTTCAAAAGCTATTTCTAAACTTCAAAGTTAAATCTACACAGTACATTGAAACTGAAAACAAGGTAATTTAATGAAATATATATATACATGCCACAGTGTTTTAAGCTAAACATTATAACAAACGAAAAGTGTTAATCAGGTACACAAACTTTTTGCAATGTGAACCATAAAACGTTTTTTTTTATTTCAGTCACAACATCTGAAACAAAAGGTCTAACTGGAATAACATGCACAAAGAAAAATTAAATTAAAAAAAACAACTAGATACACATTTTATGGTCAGTTTGCAATATTATACATTTCTGTCTTGAAGAGGATTTTATGAGGATATACAAACATGTACATGCAAGCAAACTTAGGATAGGAAAATTTTCACACGTTTTCTATTCTCAAATTCAACCAGCTACAAACAATATCTGATTAAATGACTATAAAAAAGAAATATTTGATGAGAAAGTGTTCAGAGAGGAGCTCTGCTTATGTGAACACTAACGTAATTAAAATTTTCCAAACCTTTGAGCTTGATGAACTAGATTGTGAGGCTGTTGATGACCTCAGATGCTGAGGTGGCTGTAACAGTTGCTTGCTTGTCTGCGTACTGACTGGTAACAAGGGGAATTTTACTGAACCAGACATTAATGGTAGAACATTGTGATGGTCACTTTGTCCAGTTTGAGGCTTAGAACGGGCATTATCCCAACTTCCAACAAGATCTCCACTAATTGCCAAGCCCAATAGCAACTATATTAAAATTAATGTAAGTTTAGTTACAATTTAAATAAATATTTATGTATTTATTCTTATCTCAAAGTAAATATGTTAAGGTTTTTTCTCAACATTTCCATTATTTTCCTGCGAGATTTGGAAGTATGTTAGATGTAATTGTAAACTCAACGCATTATTAGAACTGTCATTTCCAACAATCAAATATTTAACAAGTTTCACACAAGTACTGTATGTAACACAAACTTTAACTCTTTCAGCATGAGCTCAGTCTCAGGGACCGACCTCATAACCATTTTGTGCTTGTTATAGTTTTCATGTATAACTTTTAAATTAGTAAGCATATATTAACAAAATTTGGCAGATTATCAGTAAACATTACAATGCTTTCATACACAAAATATCAGATATTTTTATTAAGTCTTAAAGTTTGTTAAGCAATGTTTTTCTCATGCTTTTAGCATGATGCCTATCCAACATGCAAAGTAATTTTCGTTTTAAGATTAAAAATACTTTTATGCATTAGAAAATTTTCAAATTTCACATGCGAAATCTTTATAACGTCCAGAGGGTTATCAAACGTTTCTTTAAAAAAAAACTATATTTTATCTGTCTATTTGAACAGTCTCATAAACACCATAAAAAAATTAGGAAATAAAATTCATACCTTTTTCGTTCTAGAATGACTACAAATTATAAGACAAAAACACAAATGTTTAAACTAAATAGCTTAAATCTCATAACATTATTGTTTTTATAATATTGACCTTTCAGCCGTGCCTGGCAAACAATACAGAAGTTACAGTGACGTAGCACACGTGCACTCATGTTACTGTATGCAATAATATAAAACTGACCTTTAGTCTTTACAAAGTGACCTGTCTTGGCTGTGTTTTAGTACACTAGTATTTT